AAAGGAAATAAACATATTTATAATAGCGCTTTATAGTAAAGCGCTATTAAAGAGTACAGAGAATATGATTTTGATAGCACTTTGTAAAAAAACGCTATTATAGATATTCACTAAGATAGCGCTTTTCTAAAAAGCGTTATTAAAATGTTGTATTACAATAGCACTTTTATAAAAGCGCTATTATTAAAAGCACTACGATAGCGCTTTTTAAAAATCGCTATTAAAATATGTAACTACAATAGCGCTTTCTATGGAACCGCTATCGTTTCTATAATTGTGTTTTAAGATAGCGTTTTTTTAAAAAGCGCTATTAAAATATTCCACTAAATTAAATTAATTAACATATGAAAATCTTTCCTGGCCCAAATGTTTTTCGTTTTGGCGCAAAATTCCTTCTTCGTATCATTACTCGGATTCCCCTCTCTCTCAATCTCGTTTCACTGGCTCTCTCTTTCAAACTCTCTCCATCTCCTCTTATTCTATTTCTGAATCTGGTTTACGTTTGTTGATGATGATTATTCTGAACGGTTTGGTTTTGATGATGGAAATTGATTGAAGTTTGAGGTTTACGGCGGAAGGAATGGAGATTTGGATTACTGAAAGAGGGGTTAGGGTTTATGATTGGGGGTGTTTTGAAGTTGGATTTACGGATGAAATGGGTTTGAAGCCAGTTTGAAGTGAGGGAACGGTCGGAGGTGAAGGTTTATGGAAGGGGTTCCGATGGAGGTTTTGAAGGAGTTTTCCGACGTTTTGTGTGTGGTTCTGTTAATGGTGAGAGATGGAATGTGGATTCTGTGTTGAAGATTTTCGGATGTTGAAGTTAGGGTTAAAAGAGGGGTTTAGGTCCGGTTCTGTTTTGATGTTAACGGAGGGATGTTTCCGGTGTTTAACGGTTTCGATGGGTTTCTGATGTTGATAGCGGCGTGCGGCGGAGTAAGAAGAACAACATCATCATTTATTTCCTTTTGTTGGGCGTGGTAATCCCCTAGATTAACGAGGGCCATTTTGTTGTCTTCAACTTTGTACTATTTGAATTTACATATATGCTTCTAGATTTGTGTTATTTGTTATAGAATTGCCCGGTAGTATATTGGTAATTATTTGGTAGATAAAGAACTTCAGATCCTTTAGCCCCCAACTCATTCCAAAACATATACACCTTAATTTCTCTGTACTGAAACAAAACAAAAGTGAAGCTGAAAACTTGTAATCTAGTTGGAGAGAAAGACACTTCTCATTTATTTCCTTTTGGCTGTGTAGGTAATCTTCTCCGTTCAGGTGATGTTAGAGGGTACCAATCCATGGCAAGAATGTACACGAGGCTTGCAGCAATGCCAAACAAAGGCTGATTGATTTCTGATAACTTCTGTTGTCTAGTTTTAAAAAGTTAGCCGTTAATGTAGAAGTTCTTTGTTCAAATCTTAATTTGTTTAAAGTGTATACATTTTATTTAAGACACGATTGTTGTTTGTTGTTGTTTTAGGATATGTATTAATGTGGTGACTTGTACAAAGTGTCAATGTGACTTCATGTATGTATCTAGACTTCAGAAGTAAAGGTAATTATTGCTATACTATTCATCTTGTTCCGAATTTTCTCTAGTAATAACTGTTTTTTCTACTTGCTTGTTTTGGCAGACAGAATGGATATGTTGTTTGAAAGGTTTTGATTATATGTGAGAATTCAGTGTTGTTTATCCTTGTTTATAGGCGGTGTTACATTCGTTTCATTAGAAAGGTCAATGGCAAGAAGGGCACAGAGGGTCAAGAAGAGACCATAAAAGCCTTTGAGTTTATGCTCAACTGTATCGGTAACTTGTTTCTCATTGTCCTATTACTTTTGTATTTCAGTTTTCCTTTGATTATTGTAGCACTTATATATGTATGTATATTGACAAATCTTTCTAATGATGTGCTAACAGGAGCAGACATAGCATCTGGCCCTTTGTGGATGGAGTACATATCCTTTCTAAAGTCATTGCCGGTTAGTTAATATTGTGTTTTCTGCAATTCTTGTTGCATAATTCGGTATCGATTTTCAACTTTTTTTGGGTCAATTTCAGTTGCAGCCTGTACATGAACAAGAAGAACCATATCAGATGATTGTTATTAGGAAAGTCTATCAGAGGGCTATTATTAGTTAACATTTTGTATTCAACCATTATTTGCTTAAGAGTAGGTACTAGGAAATATTTACTTATGAGCAGGTACTAGGAAATAAAATTACTCGTAAAGAAGTAGGATTACGAGTATCATCATCTGCGTGTTTTACTTCAGTGATATTTATTTATTATATCATTTATGGAATTTCTCACTGCATTTTATTGGTATTCAGTGTCTCATGTATATGTACCATTATCCTGATGTATGGTATGACTATGCTACATGGCACGCTAAAGGCGGTTTGATAGATGTTGCCAAACGATTCTCGACAACGATACACATAAGACAACTCTGTCACACATATATATACAACTATATAGCAGTGAAAAAGTACATATTTTGCTTCCTCATTAGTGTCTTTAATCATTTATTTTTTCCAAATGGCTGCACCTTCCATCATTCATATTAAAACTCTTAGCACTATAAATATGTGTCTCCTTCTTCTTTATCTGCATGCAAATTAAGTTTAACTTCTCTTCAATATTGTTATTATGGCTTCAAAACTCATTCCTACTTCTTTCTTTTTACTTGTTCTTTTCTTCTTGCTTCTTATGAGGTTCTGGTTTGTCTTTTGATTTTTCTGTTCTTCTTTTCTCACTATTTCATGTTAGTTGTTAAGAATTACTACATTTTTCACACTAGTCTTAATTATCACTCTGATTTAAGTTTAACCAGTAACTAACCGTGTTTAATTTGATTGAGGTTCTAAGCTTGTTGTTGCGTGCCTCAGTTCTGTTTAGATCCTTGGAGGAAGTTTTTTCTGGCTGACTGCTGCTGTGAGTTTAAGTGTGGTTTGTGTTGAACTCCTGCTGCTGCTAGGCTTTGGTAAGAATTATCACAGGTAGGCTAGTTGATTTAGTATTTTAGGACTCAGTAGGTTTATCTGCTTATTTGAACTTATAAAGGGAGGTTTTTATCATATGTGTCTAAGTGAAGTTCAGGCCAGGATTTGATGTTTTTAAGGTCTGTTCTGAATTTTGTTCTATCTGTTTGTTTAAGTTGAATCTCAAGGTACTTGTTTTCATCTTGGCATGGCTGCTAATATTTTCATCAACATTGTTATAAAATGCTTTAACCATTTTGTCAACTCATATAAGCTGTCAGCATGTTTGATTTGGATTATATATATCGTCAGTGTGAACAATTTTACGCTATTGTTCAATCATATATTCCCTCATTGTAAAGAGTTTCTAAGTAAATTGTGATTATTATGCAGAAGTACAGTATGCAGAAGTACAGTAAATTGTGCCCGCATTGGGGTTGTTCATTCGCTGGTTTGGAAGAATGTGTGAGGTTCATTTCTGATTACAAGATATCTGAAGATGAGATTCATTTCATTAAGAATAATTTTCCTGCTTCATGTGAGGTAAATATATAATCATAATCTGAATTGCTTATGATTTTGGTGTTTCATTATGTGTTGACAAGGTTTATCAAATAAGTGCTTATGCTTTAAGTTATTTCTGTTACAAAAGATAGAATAAGTTAAAGTAGTTATTAGTAGTATTAGTCCTCACAAGAGTCCACATTCAAACTAAAGTTCATAGTAGTATTAGTCCTCACAAGTCACAACAGAAATGGACATAACTACATGGTGGAGATTTTATAAAATTGGACACTCATCGATTTACTATCACTATAAGTTGATCCTTGCAATCACTAAGTACCATCACCTTCAACGGCGTTCACCCGTTCACATTCGTCAATCCATTCACTGTATCTGCAACATTATAATAAAGATAATTGAGTCATTTGGTTGTGTCTATTGTGGGAGAGGAGATTTTCAATTCAGTAGTTGAACTTACATGTCTATTGCCTCAGATAAAGCTGCAAAGAGAAATAACATAGTAACATAGTTTTATGGTCCCAGCAGATATGGTCCCAGCAGATATATAAAATACTAAATATCTCACTTTCCATAAGACAAATAACATAGAGCATTGAGTATTTAGATAGTGTGCATGTGTATATTTTTTTGTATAACCTTATCGATATTTTGTCGTTACATTATCTATTGCATTTTTCTCCCCCTCGCTGTGAATGTATCTTTTTTTGCAGCTGAAACTATCCTTTTAGCATTTCAAAATTACATTTTGATGCTTGGCACGAGTGTCATGATACAAATAAATAAATTTTGAAAAGGTATATAACTAACTGAAACAAACAAATAATAGTAACATAAGTAGATTGTAATAAAGCTGAAAAGGTATCTTCTACTAATTGGTTTTGCTTTGTCTGAATTTGTTGTTACAGTGCTCGATGCGTTGTGCTTCATTCGCGTTGTTTCTTTAAATTGTTTCAGACACTTAACATCAGAGTCTTCACCTCTTTTTATCAACCAATTGCTTGTGAGAATACAAACTGTGATGTTTTCTTCAGCTGCAATCAATCAAGAGAAGTTTAGTGCAATTTATATAAGTTATAACAAAAGAGTTAATATCTTACAATATGCTGCAGGGTTATTGAGAATATCTCCAAAGACGCCATAGGTGTTTCTGTATGCAAAGATAGCACCAGGATGATCTCTGTTAAGTTGCTCAACTGTTGATCTTTGATTAGGAATCCAACTCCTGCTATGAAGATCTTCCTCAATCCTAAGCTGTGAAGTGCCTTCAATACGAGGTAAATGATCAATTTAATCCTAAGCTGTATAATTGGAACTGCTGGAATAAAGTCCGGGTAGGAGGTAGTTGTTGATGTAGTCATTATTCACCGTCACGACAATTACTATAGGACAACGACGAATCCAACTGACGAGAATCAATTCCTAGCCAAATCTATAGCAATTGTCATGACGGTGAAGAGTTGAGTTGGATGACAATATTCACAGGTGCACAAATGGAACCTTTCTTCCTTTCCTCTCTCTCATTCATCTTCCTACTTTTCTTCACTTTTTCTTCTGCTCAGATGCCAGGTACCTACTACTACTACTACTACTCTCTTCTTCTTTTTCTTCTACACCTTTTTTTGTTCTCTTGCATTGGTTCTTGTTAATATTGCTCCTTCTTTTCCATGTTCTATCCTATTATAACTTTACCAATTCCTTTGTTTTCATTTCCAAAGATTCTATCTTTCTGTAATTTACCATCAACATGTTACATATCTATACATTATGGAATTTGAGATGGATCTTTATATGATTAGTATATCATTGTTCTTCAATTCTCTTTTAAAGTTGATCTATGTAGCCGACCCCTCTTTCTGGAATAAGGCTTGGTTGTTGTTTTTGTTATCTATGCTTTTAATTTGTGATGATGATATTTGCCTTGTTGAACAGGTTTTGTGAGTTTGGACTGTGGAGGTGATAAAAATTTCACTGATGAAATTGGTCTTCAATGGAGTCCTAATGATGGAATCGTTTATGGAAAAATAAGCACGATTTCGGTTGCGAATGAGACATGGAAGCAATACACGACACTTAGAAACTTTCCTGCTGATTCGAGAAAATACTGCTACACACTTGATGTTATTAGCAGGACAAGGTATCTACTGAGGGCAACATTCTTGTATGGAAACTTTTATAACAACAATGTTTATCCGAAATTTGATATTTCGATTGGGGCTACTCAATGGTCTACTATTATTATATCGGATGCGAATACGATAGAAGTTAGGGAAATTATATTTTTGGCTTCAAGTCCTACTGTTAGTGTCTGTCTATCGAATGCAACAACGGGGCAGCCGTTCATATCTACGCTTGAACTTAGACAATTCAATGGTTCGGTTTATTTTTCGTTCTACGAGGAACATTTCTACCTCAGTGTCTCTGCAAGGATAAATTTCGGTGCAGAGAGTGACGAGGAAATCAGGTATTAAGGACGAACGTGTTTTCTGCGTAAATATAGTTATTGTTTTGGTTTTGAAGTGGTTTAAGTGTAAGTTTCTTTCTGCTATATCAGGTATCCCGATGACCCGTTTGATAGGATTTGGGAGTCAGATTCTGTCAAGAAAGCAAATTACCTCGTCGATGTTGCTGATGGAACTGAGAAAATTTCCACCAATGTATCCATTGATGTCAACAGAGATGAAATTCCACCGTTGAAAGTAATGCAAACAGCGGTAGTAGGTACGAATGGATCTCTAACGTACCGGTTGAACTTGGATGGTTTTCCTGCTATTGGACGAGCATACAGCTATCTTGCAGTAGATAGAAGATTTTCTCTGTCAACTTTCAACTCTCTCACATAACTTCACTTTCATCCTTTCTCTTTATAAATGAAGTTAGAGAGTAACCTCATCTGTAAATTTAAGTTCTAACAATCTCAACTACTTGAGTTTAATTACCTCTCATCATCACTTTTCCATTTCATTTATATTACTGTCATATGGTGATTTCTTTGCCACTAGCACTGAAATCTGAAGATTCTGCAAATCTTATTCAACAAAACTGGTATACATTATGTTATATTTACTTAATATTGAGAATTTCAATTGTACATAAATATCTTGTGTTTTAACTTGACATTAATTTGTTTTAATCGTATATATAGGTGGAAGCTTTTAGATTCTGCTGAACTAAAGCGAAGCTCTATATCTTTCTTTGACGTTGAGAACCATGAAACTGCCATTTCGCGTTGGTCTAGAGCTAGAACAAGAGCCGCTAAGGTTGGTAAAGGTTTATCGAAAGATTTCAAAGCTAGGAAACTTGCTTTGCTGCATTGGCTTGAAGCGGTAAGTCAAACACATGTTCTTGATCATACTAGGAAACTTTCTTTATCTATATCAATCATTATTTACTGAAATGCTTTTGTCGTGTGTGAAACAGATCGATCCAAGGCATCGGTATGGACATAATCTACACTTTTATTATGATAAATAGCTCAAGAGTCAGAGCATGGAACCCTTTTTCTATTGGTAACATTCTTTGCAAAATGTATTAGTACTCATTGTGCATGTAAATTCATCACCAGAATTGAAACTGATTAATCTTGTTTTTTGAAATTGTAGGCTAGATATTGGAGAAGGAAAGGAAGTAAATCTTGACAAGTGTTCTCGAGCTAAACTTCAACAACAGTGTGTTAAATATCTTGGTCCTGTAAGTTTTAACTCTCTATTTATGTCAACATTTTCTTCTTTTTTGGTTATCTTTGTGTTGAAGTTATACTCATTATTTCCATCCCTTATTTCTTCTAGATGGAGAGATTGTCTTATGAAGTTGTTGTGGAAGATGGAAAGTTGTTGTACAAAGAATCAGGAGAGTTCCTTCACACTATAAAAGAAGGCTCACGTTTCAAGTGGATTTTGGTCCTTAGCACATCGAAGAAGTTATATGTTGGTAAAAAGAAGAAAGGCTCATTTCAGCATTCTAGCTTTTTGGCTGGTGGAGCCACATCTTGTGCTGGAAGACTGGTTGTTGAACATGACAAAATACTTTAGTTGTGTTTATAAAATATTTTGGTTTGAAGTACTCTTAAGCCAAATTAATGGTATCACATTTGTCATTATTATTTTAATTTCAAGTATTTTAGCTACTTAGTTATAATTATTTTATGAATTCTAATGTTGTAAAATGCAAATGCCATATATATATATATATATATATATATATATATATATATATATATATATATATATATATATATATATATATATATATATATATATATATATATATATATATATATATATATATATATATATATATATATATATATATATATATATATATATATATATATATATATATATATATATATATATATATATATATATATATATATATATATATATATATATATATATATATAATGATTTGGTGTAAAAAAAAGTGTATTAAAATAGTGTTTTAAAGAGAGCGTGCTATAATAGCGCTTTGTTAGAAAGTGCTATCAAAATTAAAGCAATTTACCTGTATTTCAATAGCGCTTTGTTTGAAAGTGCTATCGAATATGTGGATTATAATAGCGCTTTGTTTGAAAGTGCTATTAAATATTTGACTTATAATAGTGCTTTATTGGAAAACGCTATTAAATATGTGTACTATAATAGCGTTTTGTTTGAAAGTGCTATCAAAATTAAAGCAAATTACCGGTACTATAATAGCGCTTTGTTTGAAAGCGCTATCAAATATGTGACTTATAATAGCGGTTTTGTAAAAGCGCTATTAAATACAGGTACTATAATAGCGCTTTTGAAAAAACGCTATTAATTACCAGAACTATAATAGCGCTTTTAAAGCGCTATTAAAAAGTTTGTTTTACAATAGCGCCTTGATTAATAGCGCTTTAAAGCGCTATTAAAAAGCAAAAAAAGCGCTATTAAAAAATCTTTTTGTAGTAGTAATTGTAAAACAATGACTCTTAATTGTAAAACAAAGTTAGTTAATGAAATATAAAAAAAAATTGTTAATAAAGTGATGAAGTTGTTTAATTAAGGCTCAGATATTAAAAATAATTTAGAAATAAAACAAAGTTAGTTAATGAAGTGATGAAGATCAGATATTAAAAATATTTTTTAGTAGTAAAATAAAGTTGATTAATGAAAAATAAAATGTTGGTTAATGAAATTTTTAAGTTGGTTAATAAACATTCAGATATTAAAAATAACTTTTAGTAATAAAATAAAATTGATTAATGAAATATAAAATATTAATTAATAAAATTATAAAGTTGATTAATCACATTGTTCACCGTATTGATGAATAGTAAAATACAATACAGTTTAAAGGAGTGTAAGAATATCATTTCTAATTTATCCGTGTGTATGCTTGAGTTTTTTTTACTAGTATAAACTTAAAAATAAATGTACATATAAATATAGTGTGAACTTCTAAATATCAACATATATGATTTAGCTTTTACATCTGTCAAACATCAGAAAAATGAACAAATCATTTTACTGGAAAATTAATAAGAAAAAAGCAAACATGGTGATTAATTTTTTTGAAAACAGCCAAACTAAACATAGTGATTAATTAATCCATGAAACATTACCACTCATTCCTTCATTTAAGATGCAACCAGATTCTAAAAGTTGGCAGCATTGTCTCCTTTCTTTCAGCAGTTTAATGATAGAGTAAATTATTAAAAATGCATTAGGAGTTTTTGGAGATGTATCTCCGGATCAATTTTTAGAAAAAATAAACGGATTATTTAGATGCATCTTTAGAGTACAAAGGATAAAGTGATTTAAGATACGTACGGAGATGCATCTCCAAAAATATCTGTAAACAATTTTAAATTTTTAGATGTGTGGTTCACATCTTAAAGGTGAGAAAAGAAATTTCTATAAGAATATTTTAATATGAGCTTAAAAATTACTACTCGAGTCTAATATTATACGGGCTTCGAACCACCAAACGTTAAACAGACTATTTTTTATACAAAAATTAAAATAAAGTTTCTCTATAATATTTATAATAAATACAATAAAAAATTATATCAAAATTTTAAGTACTATATTAACTTTTTATAAATACTATTACATATTCTGAAATGTTTTTTTTTATCAATATTATATCATTTGATATATATATATATATATATATATATATATATATATATATATATATATATATATATATATATATATATATATATATATATATATATATATATATATATATATATATATATATATATATATATATATATATATATATATATATATATATATATATATATATATATATATATATATATATATATATATATATATATATATATATATATATATATATATATATATATATATATATATATCATAAGAGAAACTAATATAATAGAAAGAAATTGTGAAATAAAATACAAAACAACTTAATAATAATTTTGATCTTACCAGATCAGAAAAGGATAAGCAACCAGCAACAAGACGTGAGCTCCTAATTCGTCGGTGGTGGAGAAGAGGAGGGGGTGTACCTACAAGGCACTCTGATGCTAAAGTTAGTTTCAGCAAGAGAGAGAAGGCAAGTACAGAAAAAGGGTTAGAATAGAATACTTGACCCTCTAGTGAAAGAGAGTATTTATAATGTGCTCATAGCGTTGGACAAACAATTACTTTGCATTAGGTTGGATTGCTAGGCCCAATATGAGTAACTGTCAGGCTCTACGTGGCGTATGGAAGACCAACACGTGATCTTCGTCCTGCGTCAACTGTCCTATGATCTTCGAAAGGTGGGTGACATGTTCTTTTGGATGTTGGTAGTTGTCTGATGACGTGTTCCCGCATGGGGGGGGGGGGGGGGGGCATGTGGAGTCCGTGGGAGAGACGTGTAAGCGTTCTCCGTGTGATGTGATGATTTGATTCATGTGTTTTTTCAGAAATACATCTCCAAATTTGTTTAATTAATATCTCAGTTTTGCTATTCCTACACTCTCTTTTACACCACCATATTTATTGCTCACAAATACGGTGAACGGTGAACAGTTCGTGAATAGTAACGTAAACGTTGCATGAACAATGTCATAAACATTGCATGAACATACACGTGAACAGTGTCTGTGAACGATGCATGAATAATGACTTTTAATTGTAAAACAAAGTTAGTTAATGAAATATAAAAAAAATGGTTAATAAAGTGATGAAGTTGTTTAATAAAGGTCCAGATATTAAAAATAATTTAGGAGTAAAACAAAGTTGGTTAATGAAAAGTAAAAATTTGGTTAATGATGTGATGAAGTTGGTTAATAAACGATCAGATATTAAAAAAAAAAATTAGTAGTAAAATAAAGTTGTTTAATGAAAAGTAAAATGTTGGTTAGTGAAATTATTAAGTTGGTTAATGAACGTCCAGATATTAAAAATAATTTTTAGTAGTAAAATAAAATTTATTGATGAAATATAAAATATTAGTTAATAAAATTATAAAATTAGTTAATCACATTGTTCACCATATTGATAAATAGTGAAATACAATACAATTTAAAGCAGTGTAAGAATATCATTTCTCATTTACTCGTGCGTATGCTTGAGTTTTATTACTAGTATAAATAGGGATGACAACGGGGCGGTGCAGGGACGGTTTTTGTATTTCCCAAACCCAAATCCGAATCCCAAATAAATCCCTGTTTCCCGCTCCGAACCCCAGCGGAGATGAATAATTGAACCCCAACCCCGTCCCAAATGGGTTCAGGGATTCCCGCCCCGCCTCCAAACCCAAATCCGGCCCCAAACCCAAATTTTGCCCCGAACCCAAATTTCTCCCCAAACCCAAAACCTGTCACAATCTTAAGAAATATTAACTTGTATTA